AAAGTAAGATTTCACTCGGTGGTTGGAAAGGGGGAGAGATTAGAAGAAAAGAATTATAGAAAGTATATGATGTATATCGATATATGTATATATGTATTCGTGATGATAAGTGGACTTTTTATAATGATCCTATACGAATGCTATTAACTTATATAGATATTTTTCTCTACCAATTGAAAATAAATCAAATTCCACTTGTTCGATTGCAAGTATATGATGTATTTCATTAAAAAAAAAAAAAAAAAGTAATTAACGTACAGAAGGAAATGATTTTACTAATTGTAAGAATATATATATATATATATTGAATCGTATAAGATAGTAGAGGAATAGATATATCGATAGGCGTGTATAGTAATTAAGATGAAAATTTATAATCGTATATAGAAATCGAACGAAATTCGTCTGGGAGGTGGTTACGTGACCATCTATCTTATAAGAGGGAATACGAGGACGTTAATGGCGAGGAGTCTTCGAGCCCTGACATAAATCTTTTAGAATACGGAAAGGAAAAACGGTTAAGGCGTTAAAGTTACCACGTAGGTATACGGCGATTCGTTTGCATTAACGCAATATTTCCTTGCCACCTGACCTTCCTAGCAGATAGGTTGGATGTCGCCGTGCGAGGCGATATATTGCGAATTAGCGAGGAGTATTATTCGCGCGAGTAATCTTAAAGATAGTACACACTACTACGGGTACCTCAACCTCCTCCTCCACAACCTTCGCAACCTCCACCTTCACCTCTACTACCACCACCATCACCATCACCACCACTACCACTACCATCATCATCATCATCTCTACCACTTCTACCTTCACTTCCATTTCCATTTACTACTTCTTCTTCTTCTTCATCTTCTTCTTCTTCTTCTTCTTCTTTTTCTTATGTTGCTCTTTACCAAGGAGAAACGGGGAATTTCTTCGAGGAACGTTTATTATCACGATACAAGCGTAGTCGTGTAGTCCAACGTAGAAAAGACACGCTATCGATTATATCCAAGTGCGTGGAAGAACTTTTGCTTGGATTTCAAGAAAAGTAGATAAGAGAGAAAGAGAGAAAGATATAGTTGACTATGAAAACGACTATTAAATTCTTATTGTCCCTACAAATTCACTTTCTTAATTATCTTTCTCTCTTTTCTTTCTATTTCTATCTCTTAACAGCTACTCTTTGATCTGATCGATGATGCCACCGTGCTGGTAAAATTGAAACTGTTAAATCAATGAAATTACTTACTACGAAATATCAAAAGTAACGAGTCCTTTCTTCTTCTTGATCATTTCTTCTTTTATATTTACTCAGTGATACTTTTCTATAACGAAAAAAGAAAAAAAAGAAAAAGAAGAAAGTTATAAGAGCCAAATTTTTCTTGCAAGAGACGAAATAATAGGTCTTTTCAAAATGAGGGTTTCCAATGAAAGAATGAGATGGAATCATAACACGGTAAAGAAAGAAGAAGAAAAAAGAAAAGAAATGAAGAAAGAAGAAGGGTGGTTTGCTCTCCCGCAGGGAACTAATAACCGGGTTTCGCAGGCGTGTCTCGTGCACACGCACGCGTGTAACACGCGTGCAATACTCTCATCTTCGTTGCTTTCACGACGAGTATCGGCATCAAAAGCAACAACAACAGCAACACCAACAGCAGCAACGAGTCGCGGTAGCAACTTGTTTGTTCGATTCTTTCTCTCTGTCTTTCTTATTTTTTTTTTCTTTCTTTCTCTCTTTTTCTCTTTTAAAGGCACGCGTCAACGCAGGTAGCCGATAAACCTACGTCGGCTGGTTCTTTCGCTGTTATTAGCTTTCTTTTTCGTAACACGCGTCCTGTCAGGGCCAGGAAATAAGAAGTGTATTCCGTTAGGAGTTACTTTGTCAGACTCAGCAAAGTGACTTTATAGAGAAAGAAAGAGAAAGAGAGAGAGAGAGAGAGTCTACGATCTTTTTTTCTCACCCTTAAATTTCTTTCTCTCTTTCTCATATAGCCACTCTTTCTCTAGCAGACTCATTCATTTCGCAGTGATTCTCGAACAGAGAAGAAAAAGGGGAGATGATGAGAAAGAAAAAGAGAGAGAGAGAGAACTCGTAAAGGAAGTCGATCGAACAGAAATTGAATGATCGGCTCGGGGGTGGTAAAAAAAAGGGGGTGAGAGGTGCTTCTAGGGCGCTTGATTGTTCATTCAAACAACAATCGTAATTGCGTTACACGCCGCCGAAGGGGCAAAAGGGGAACAACAGCAAGTAAAAGGGCTGGAGAAGAGTATGGGGAGGAAGTGGAGGGAGTGGTAGGAGGAGGAGGTGGAGAACGATGGGAAAACTCGACAACGTTGTCCTCGTTGTTCTCCCTTTCTCTTTCTTTCTTTCGATTATTATTACGGTGGGACGAATCGGTGCCGAGAGAAGTCTCGACAAGTGGCCACCTCAGAAGAAAAAAAAAAAATAAAATAGAAAAAGCTTTTTTTGATCCCCGTGTGATTCTTCGAGAGCAGACCGACGTTATGTTAAAGTTATTAGGAACACGCCTAACGTTAAGAGAGCACGTTCCAACTCGATTGTCCACTTCTTCGTACCTTACTCTTTGTAGGTACCTATTGTTAAATTTTTTTCCTTTATCGCGATTATAACCACGGTACTTAGTTATCGTTAATAGATTTATATTTATTTTTTTGTTAGAAAATATGAAAGAGATCAATTTTATGTCAACTTTTGGATCGACTGGACACCAAACTTTTGTATAAGATCAAAAATTAAAAGACATTTTTTGAAACGTCGAGACACTTCGTCGTTGTCGTAACGATATCTCAAGGTTAAACTGAAAGACACGTGGAGACATTTGGGGAAAACGAGTAATATCGCAAATATAAAAAAAAAAAAATAGTTAAATTCGATTGTTTAAATTGTGTGAAGTTTTTTCTTTTTAACTCGTTGATAGTTTTTGATGTTTATAACTTAAATTTGTATGTACGTGTAACGATTATACGTATAGCAAGTAAAGATGGGTCTCGTGACCGCGTCACTCTTAGACTAATGCTAAGAATGGACTATGAAGTTGATGGAAAAAGATGGAAGGGAGAAAAGGAACGATGGAAGAGAGAAGGAAGGTGCCACGCGGTGAGAGTCAGGGGGACGGGAAACTAACGATTTGCTTTGTTAATATTTGTTCAGCTATGTGTTCATTTTCGAGTCGCCTACTAAATCGAGGTTGACGTATTGTTATTACCTCCGTTGCGATTAACATAATAATGCAAACACAATGACACGGCGGTCTACGAAGGCCCGTGCATGGCTCAAGTCTGTTTGAGCAGGTGAAAATTTTACCGTGGCCATCGCGGAATTGCGTAGGCGCCCTCCTGCCAACTACTATGTAACCTCTTCTCCTCTTTCTTCTTCTCTTATCTTCATTCTCATTCGTTTCTACTTCGAGAAAAAAAAAAGTTATATGCCAACTACCGTTTGTGGAGTTTTGTTGCTTTACACATATACTAAGACGACCAATTGTTTTCTAATTCAATTAGGAACGTCTTGCGAATTTTCTGTCTTCCTTTTCTGTTTCTTTTTTTTTTAATTTTATTTTATTTTTTTTTCTCTATCCGTGCAACTTTGTGCGTATAAATTTTTTTTTACACACGGTTACGTTTAAGAAATGAAATTGAAATGAATTTTTATCTTTACAAGTAATAAAAGAAGAAAACAAAATCATAGATTACATCGATAATTTGTCAAGATTCTTATTTTTCAACGTAACACGATATATTAAGCTTTTACCAGTTCTTTATCAGAAAAAAGAAAAGTAAAAAAAGAATAGAGTTTTTATTTCTCATTGAATTCGTAATGTATACCGGAGATTTCCTCATTTCCAGGTAATTAATTTACAATGAGCCGGACGAAAAAGAGGGGAAGTTAATCCTTGTTTTCGAGGGTTACTTACCAGCTTGAACCTCTTTAACGTGCGGTAAAAGGGATGCTTGCTCACCGCAAACAACAAATGTCGAGCATAATTGACTGACTCCTCCTCGAATATTTCTCTCATTCTATCGTGTTAACTCGATCATTGAAAAAAAGAAAAAAGAAAAATTATTTTATCGACACGAGGGGAAACTCGTGTAAAAAAAAAAAAAAAAGAGAAAAGATAGATGGGAAACACGGTGTATTAACAAACTATTCGATAAACGTAAATATTCCCATAAAACACATTTTATCTATTGCATTTTTATAAAGGTTATGCTTTAATAATTAAATCAAAATTAAATAATACAAAAATATATAATATATAATGTATTATATATTAAATATAAAATATTTAAAACATTTAAAACCTTATCTAATTATAAAATTTTATCTATTGCATTTTTATAAAGGGTTCATTTTAATAATTAATTTAAATTTAAATAATAAAAATAAGTACATAATACAATATATTATATATTAAATATAAAATATTTAAAATATTTAAAATATTTTAAATCTTATTTAATAATCTTCTAATCATTTAAATAACGAAACAATTAAAAATAAAAATAAATAAAAAAGAAAATCAAAGAACATCAATTGATGGAAAACAAGGGGGATTGGATTTTTCAACGAATCTTTTCTACCACCTATCCCCCATATAAATTTTGTTCTTTCTTTTTCCTTTCTAGGACAATCGTCGAAGGGTGGGTGTCCTCCTCCGGACTGGATGGAGAAAACGTTTGCTCGAGTCTAGATGGCAGGGAACTTAATCGTAAAAAATAATTGCTAGTGTACAGGAGAGACTACTCACGAAAAGGGGGAGAGAAAGTGATGAGAAGGAGGTTGGAGAGAAGATGGGAAAAAAAACTGAAAAGAGAAGCAGAGAAAAAGCTCTCGCGTAGTACCGGATGTTGGCCGGAAAATGACAATCACTAGGCGCAGGACAGTTTCCTCTGTCTGACGTCAATCTGGTGAGTTCGTTGGATTTGCTCGTCGTTGCAATCTGCCCAGAAGAGGAGGAGGAGGAGGAGGAGGAGGAGAAGGATGGGGCGGCTAACATATCAGAAGGGGTGAACAGAAGCCCGCGGTTCGATATCCCTTCATTTTAATTTATTGATTCGACCCTTCTCTTAAGGTATCTTACTATATCTCAAAACAAAACAAAATAAGTTTGAATTATCCAATGCATTTCAATTGCATATTATTTAAATCGATTATAATTTTATGAAAACAATAAGTAATGAAAGTTAATAATAATTGGATCTATACGAAAATTTATATATAATATAAATTATATAATATTTATATAATTTTAACGTTAAATAATTTTATTTTAAATCAGTAAAAATTCCGTATAAGTGTTTTCATGGTATTAAAATATGGAATAAAAAAAAAAAATTCTAAAAATGTAGAATTAATAGTTTTACCTGTCAACGAGTCATTTATCTTTTGTCGATTACTAGAGGGTTTTTTCTCATTTCTTTTTTAAGGAATGGATATCCAGCTATAAAAAATTGAAGAAGAATAAAAACTAATTTAAATTTAAAAATGGGATTAGATAGATAGTAATATCTACGTATGCATATAATTATATAAAACGAGGAAGAAAATAAGGAAAATTAAAATATAAAATAATGAAGAGTAGTAACGAGAGAAGCTGATATTATATTTCCATTGGAATAGATAATATATGGTAAAATAGTTAACATATTATTCGAGGTAAGTAAAGAATAAGCGGATAATGTTGTCCCTCTTCTGACAACCTTTTTCATTCTCCTCGTTCCCCAGTTTTTTTTTCTCCACCCTTCTACAAGCTTGTAGAGCGATAATAATCGACGAGAATCCTCGACAGGTGTCCGCCAAGGACGATTTTACATACACCACGTCAGTTTCGATCTCTTTCCAACGACAAACCTAAACGAAGGGCTCTTTTTGTTCTACAAGGGACATCAAATGAGAGAGAGACAACCATCGATAAAACGAATACGATCTTCGTACGAAATTGGAAAAGGAAATAATCGTCTTCTTCGAAGCTATGTATATCGAAAATCGATCAAAAAAAAAGAAAAAAGAAAAGAAAAAAAAATAAAACTGCACTTAATCGTATCTTAATCAAGGACAAGTTGGACATTTCTAATTACCAACTTCGACTTACGAGACCTTCGGACTTTCCTCCGATCCCTTTTTCGATTATCTCCGACGTGAATTATTATCCCTCTTCGACGTCTCACTTTCGAGGTTATACTCTTCTCCATTGGGTACGAACAATTTACATAAACAAATCGAATTCAAACGGCAATACACACAGAGTGAAAGAAAGAAAGAGAGAGACAATGTACCAACTAAAGATCATTTAATTAATTTACCGTGTTAATTATCAGAGAGTATTTGATAACGTTGAACGCATAGCGTGTACTTTAATAAAGATACGAAGTATTTACTCTTTTTTTTTTTTCACAAAGGTAACACATTGTAATCGTTTTAGAACGAGTCGAATGAAAAAGCTTTCGTCGTATGAGATAGCGATTACTTTTATATCCCTTGGTAAAAAGAAAACAGAAAAAATAAAATGAAAGAAAGAAAGAAGAGATACACAGAGAAAAGTATTAGTATAAAGCGTGAAAAGCAAAAGGTCGAGTAACAAGTAACTCGTGGTACTAGCCTTCCATTTCAAGTCATACTCGAACGAACTGGTCTCTTTTCTCTCTCTTTCTTGTACCTGTTCTCTTTATCATTCTTTATTTTCCACTCTTTCGCAGATGGAATGTATCCTTCTTCGACGTTCGTTGGCTTTGTGACAAAGATCGGTGTATCTCTGATTTCACCCCCTTTATGTAGATGGGAGGGCAAACGCGAGAAGACTAAAGAGAGAAAGAGACAGGTAAAGAATATTAAAAGAGACGACCTTATGTGTGTTAATCAGTGATGATACGCTTTATGAGAACCTTTATCTTTCTTTTCCTTCGGTAAAAGTCCGAGTCTCGTTTCTTATTAGTTATTAGTATACTCGCTCGAGCACGTGGCAACTCCAGTAATGCTCGGTGCCAACGAACGAAATGAGAAAGAATAAAAGAAAGAAAAAAGAGATAAATAAAGAAAACGAATGATAAAGAAAGAGAGTAGTATAGAAGAGAGAGTATGGTGGTAGGAGGCAAAACGAAATGGTTTTGCAAGCGTGTAGGGAAGAATAGAGACGAAGTCTTGAATGGGGTCCTTTGAATTACCGCTTGCTGCTTGTGTTTTCCATAGACACATAATGTATATATATATACGTTTGTACGGGCGACTCCAGGTCGGGAACGCAAGAGAGTTAGTAGCAGTAGCAGAGCATGGTTTGCCAAGTAATACATAAGTATAGCCAAGCTCGGCGATACGAGAGCTTACACAAGCGAATCCGCAAAGTCCATAGATGGAATGAGAGAGAAAAAGAGAGAGAGAGAGAGAGAGAAAGAGAAGGTAGAAAGAGAAAGAGGGAAGGCGCCAGAACACGGCTATTCGACTGGCATCGTCACTATACTACTACTACTACTACTACTACTTCATACTACCATAGTCGTATCACCAGCTAACAGCACTAGCATCACCACTGCTATCATCTCTTCCTCTTCTTCTCTTCAGTCCTTTCTCCCTGTAGCCCGATGTGTCGCCCACCTCCACCCTCTGAAAGATCCACAACCCACCCTCCATCTCTCTTTATCTTCTTCTTTTTCTTTCTCTTTCTCTTTACTATACGATGTACACCCCGTAGTCGTCGTCGTCGTAGTCGTCGTCGTCTTGTGAAAAGAATAATGTCTCTCTTTGAAACATTAGCAATTCTATGATCGCCACCTTTATTTATATATATATGGGTAGGGACTCTGACGCAGCTCGCAACATCTCCACCTCCTACCTTCTCCTTCACCCTATTCGTTGAGAATGAGAGCTCGCGTATGAATATACATATATTGCGATGTATAAAAAAAAATATATATATATATATATATA